ATCATTGGAAACTCTCTTAATAAACCAGTACTGTATTTGTACTCTTAATATTATGTCAACATTGCTCCATAGAGCAGATCCGTTATTTGTAAGTTTTATTATGATAGAACAGAGTGGCTTACAGAGAGGGAATGTGTAAATAAATCACAGCTTCTTACAAAAATACAGACACCTTTAGAAAAATTCCACTGGCAATTGAACTTGTTTTGAACTATATTTTTATTTCAAAATAAACGTAACTTACTGAGATTCACATTCCTTAAAGTAACTGAAGAACAGGAAAGCAAAACAAAGAAGTGAGGTGAAGTCATAAATTGTAGTAGGCCTAAAATGTAAAATCATTCCTTAACCTGAAAGATTTAGTTTCACTTTAAAATGGCAGAAATGGAAACAAAATATATTTTAAACACTTTTTTACACTATATTTTAAATCATAATGTTTATCACTAAGGAAACAGCATGTATCACACAACATTCAGTGATATCTATGCCTGTAACCAAAAATGATGAGTTATCTGAAATTCCAAAAACAAGAAATAATTAAATGATCTATTGCTATTAAAAGAGTATTAGAATCAGGAATGTAATATAGATTTCATTCAAATAGGAAGCATTGTTTACGAATTCAGTATTTAGTCTATCATTTTAAATTTTAAAACAAAAAAACAACTATTTTTTTTTTTTTTTGAGATGGATTTTCACTCTTGTCACCCAGGCTGCAGTGGTACAATCTCTGCTCACTACAACTTCCACCTCCTTGGTTCAAGCGATTCTCCTTCCTCAGCCTCCCAAGTAGCTGGAATTGCAGGTACTCACCACCACACCCAGCTAATTTTGTATTTTTAGTAGGGGTTTCACTATGTTGGTCAGGCTGGTCTCGAACTCCTAACTTCAGGTGATCCACCCGCCTCGGCCTCCCAAAGTGCTGAGATTACAGGCCTGAGTCACCTCACCCAGCCAAAAGAAATGAACTGTTTTAATTTTAGTATTTGGTAACTTTCAAGAAACACTTATTTTCTATGAAATATGGGAAATATAAAATATATTTTACTTTCGGAGTCATCAAAGTTTTGAAACAATGGCAACAGCCTATCAGAAAAATTTAAAAAGTCCTAATTTTCACCTACTGTCTTTTCTAAAGCAGTATAATTTTATGAATCTTTTAATTTTTAACATAAAATCACATTTATAATCACAATTGAAAATCTTGGTGTGGAGATTGAAAAAGGATCAACTCAATACTGCAATCTAAGTGAACTCAAAACTCTAAATAATCATATCTGTTTGGACATATTTTGTACCCCCACATCCAACTTAGTGAAGAAGATAAGCTCAATTTGTCTTTTGCTTTTTTAATTTTCGAGAATAATCATTGACATAATAGTAATGATTTCCCTTTGTGCAGAATCTGGATTTGACAAAAGCATCCTGAAATTAAAAATATATATATATATATATAACATCATGAGCCTTTCTTTTATGTGCTATATATTAAAGGGCCATATTATTAATTACTGTGAATGCACAAGCTACTCTAATGATGCGAGAGGAGTGTTTGTCTTTAGAGGGTCTGTCATTAATGAAATTGAAATGTTAAAAACTGATGATTAGAATTTGGTGAGTAGAAAAGATTATTTATGGAATAGTATGCTCTGTGATTTCAGATCTAAAGTGTAATTAATGCATGACTTCATTGTATTTGAAGCTTGGTGAACCCCATGGCTAGTGGTGTTCTCAAAAGGAAACCAGACATTTTCACTTCAAAGTATGCACAGATAACAGGGTAGCAAATATGACAAAATTAAGTTACTTAAAATTGCAATCCATGGACATTTTAAATAATTTAATTCTTGAATAAAGTATCAAAATCTGAATGTGACCATCTGTAACAACTTTTCTTCTAGGATATTATGCAACTTGGAAAAATGCTACTGGTTGGAAGAGTGAGAAGAGCATATAATTAGAAGCTTTAATAACCTAAATTTGAATCCTGTTTCTATCATTTATTAACTTTATATCTCCAGTTAAAGCGATTAACTAGTTTCAATTTCCTGACTTGAAACAAAATAGGGATAATAAAATTTACCTAAAAGAGAATTTGTGAAGATTACATTGGAAAACACATGGAATAGCTGGCACAATATCTGCCATAGATTATGAGCTCAATATCACTCTGTTTGTTCATATTTCTTTGAATTTATAAAATGATATCTCTTTTTAAACTTTGCTGTTATAATAGAAAATCTGAAGGAAAGTTTTTCCCAAATCAGTGGCTCTAATTTTTAAATTATCTTGGTCGATTAGAATGCTCTGGGCCTTTTCAAAACTGTACTCTGGCGTTAATATTTTTATAAGAACAACTGACATTTTACAATTTATCTGTAAATTATTTACTAATGAGAAATACAATAAAAAAATGTTTTCTGCTGGGTAAAATAAGAACTTCCAGAATGTTTCACAGAACATTATCAGTGTCATATTGGCTGCCCAGCCACTTATACGTGCCCCTCCTGCAGTGACAGTATTACTATAAGCAGTTTTCATGGTTGGAAAGGTAGCCTCACAAATATAAAACAAAATGGAAAAAGAGACAAGTAGAAGAGAGAACCAAATGAAGAAGCAAACACTAGGCAGGAACCAAAATAGAACCCAGGGAGGAAGACGAGGAAGTAAGCTACGGCATTAAAGAGAAATAATAACCAAGGAAGGAAGGGTAATCAACATCATCAACAGAGTTCAAGGAGAAATAAGACTAAAGATAGCAACAGTAGGTTATTGTTGACCCATATGAATATAATTTTTATATAGTGATTTAAGCCCATCTACAGGAATTAAAGGAAGAGTGGATGTTCAGAAAGATACTAATACTCTACCAAACTAACTATGGCTGAGATCCACAGGGACTTCCATGTTCCCAAACTCAATGGATATTTTTTACTTTACTTGAATTTTCAAGTAAATTTGATTTGGCACTGTTGACCACTTTTTCCTTAGAAAATTATCTTGCCTTGGCTTGATTTAGAATACAGTTTTATTTTCCTCTTTGACTATTGATAAGTTTCTATTGCAGACTTATTCTCCCATATTTGCCCTCACTGTATAATTAGTCTAAGCTTGGTCTTAGGCCTTATTCTCATATCATTTTTTAATATCTTACCATGAAATCTTATCCATGTCTACAGTTTAATTGATCAATCCCAAATAAATCCCAAATGTTTGTTTGAATCCCAGGCTTTATCTTTTAGTGTCAGGTCCATAAGCTCAGCCACCTACTTGGCAGCTCTAACTACCTATCTCCAAAGTGCTTCTAACTCATGACATCTTCCAGAATCCTTCCTCCAAAATACTTAGAGTACCAATTTCAAAAACAGATACACCTTCTATGCAGTTTCCTGAGCCTCAATCCATCACTAAGTCCTGTCACTTTTAGTTTATAAATATTTCTCAGACCACTCTTCCTGCCACCAGATTCATTCTCTATACTATGGGAAGGATGATTTGTTCAAAACTCAAAACACATCATACAACTTCTTCCACTCTCAACACCTCCTCGTTCTTAATTTACTTGCCTTAATTATTCTGAGAATTTTGTCTATTGCCGATCCATCAATAATCCCAAAGGAGACTAGGACAATAGTTATTCAGGGTATTGAGTCAAGTGAAAGGTATAACTATATATAGAGTAGAGCTATACATGCCTAAATGTAGAAGAAACAAAAGCCAGTTGAGAGAAACAGTTGAAAGGATCTTTAAATTAAAGGTAGTAATGGAAGAATCAAGATCTCAGTAGCAGGAGTTAGTAGATACAGCATAATTGTGCAAAAGAGAAAAGATATAACTTCTAGTAAACCAATTGAAAAGTAAAAAGTAGTTAAATTTAAACATGAATATTTATTCTTCATAATTGCTTTTAGTTAAATTATATATTAAATGTGACCAATTATAGTTATATGTTCAAAAGATATTAACATTCACTATTATATAAAATACAGGTAAATATTTGTTTTTTTATTATTGGGCATCAGTTTAAAATGTTGTATCATGCTTTGAAAATCTATTTAAGTACAAACAATTATTCATTCTATGTTCTAAAATGTCTAATTTTAATTTTTAATAATGACACAAAGTCGCCAAGTACACTTTGCTACAAAATAAATTTACTTTTAGTTTGCTAGAAGATTTTCTGTGAGTTTTAGAATGAGTAAAATACCATTGGACAATTCTTCTTAGTTGATTAGACCAAAAACAGCTCTACCCTAAAAAAACAATGTGCCACTATTGAAGGCTTTCAAAACAAGTTGCTGCTGGCTCTTAGGGCAATTCCAGTTATTAGCAGATGTATGCTCTTGTAGGTATGTAAGCACCTCTTCATATCACTTTATCACTGATAAAAGTGTCACTGTGTAAACTACTTTCTGGGAGGAAGCCAAGCACTTTTAGAAGCTGAATAACTCTTTGGGCAACTAGAGTTCTATTCATTTCACTGAAACGGTGAATAGTGCATGAACTGGAATAATCTGATTCAATAAGTATTAAATAATTCATTCTCTGTATAATTTTACCTGTGGTGTGACTATAAAGTATGGAGGTTGGTTTTATCTGCACATTTGAACATAAAATTTCCCGTAACTGTATTTGTATAGACAGTGTTGACATAGTATATGTTTACTCTAACAATGATTCCAGCAATTCCAAAATCTTGGGAATCATCTTTTGGAATGAACTTCAAAATAAGGCTATTGGTCAAACAAGAAATTCTCCAGACATTTTAATCGTAAACCCCTTTGTCTAGACTAAAATGTGATTTCCTGGTTTCTCTGCTATTCTTGTTTGTTTGTTTCTTATTAAAATTGGGTAACCTACAGTTGTTCAAAAAAATTACTTGCATGTGTCAACTATTTATCATAACAAAAGATTACTCTAAATTAGAAGCTACATAAATGTTTTGAGGTTTAGCAGCCTCATTTGAATACATTTATAGATATCAGGCAGGATGACATTATGAACACAGGCATTTAACTTGTTGTTGCTCACTTCACCACCAATATAATTAATAGACTCTAAGCGTTAAATCAGCACAAGTTTTTGGAACTGGCGAAATAATTTTGATAAAACTTTCATGAATTCAGTACTAATAGAATCATATTAAATGAAGTTACCATAAAATGGCAATGTCTCCAGGGAGAAAAATAGGCTACATACAAATAAAGAAATTTTAAGCCTAGGGCATGTCTTTCATCATTTTGAATGAAAGAAATTAACAGAGATTGCCTTCTATCTTTTGAGAAGAAATTTTTGTTACCCCCAAAATCTCTAGCAAGCTAAGTTGTTAGTAAAACCCATGTACACATTGCTAAGTATGCAGGATCTGAGAGAGTATGCATCTTCCTGAAGATATATTAACTCAACAGTGACCTGGCTGCCTGTGATGAACCTTGGCTAGAAGAGATAAATGGTGAGTATTAAAGCTTACTCGATAATTTTTAAAGTCAGTTCTTATTACATTAACATATTAGTTTATTTCAATTCTAATAATGGTCTCATGTCAATTTAAAAAATCTGAAAATGTGATTTTGAAAAGGAAAAAGGAAAGTTTCTCTGAGATAGATTTTAAATTTTTATAATCCTAAATAATTAATATTTTGTCACATAGGTAACAAAATAGGTTAATAAAGTAAATTAAGTAAATAAATTTACCCAATTACATATAAAAATTTAATATTTGATGAACAGGACATTTGTATTTTTGAAATAGTAAGTTATTTATTGAATGTTACTGGCAATACTAGGTAGCTATTTGCAAAAATGGTAGAACTTGTTTCACATAAATACTTGATGAATTAAAGATTGATATCCAAAAGGGATTCTAAATATGTACCAGAAGAAAATATAGCTGAGCGTAACAGGGATATATAAAAATGTTTTCTAAACTTATATATACTAAGAATGAAAGCATAAATTAATCAACTAACAAATTTAACCTCATTTTTTTTTCTAGTTGTGTAGCTCACCATAAGGACTTTTTCTTACACTTATCCATAAGCAGCAGGAATAATGAAGGACTAAAACTCCAAAGCTGTAGAATATGGATGCAGCCATAGTTGACATACTCCAAAGTACACATAAACTGTCCAGAACCCTAATAAAAGAGCTTCATGGGAAGAAGAAGAGAAGAAAAGCAGCAGAGAAAGCACTTGGCAAGAGGGCTCAGTCACAGCAGATTTTAGAAGCACTACCAAATGTACCCTTCGAAAGATGAGAGGAACAACCAAAGGTGAAATATCTATATAGTTTCTTGAACAGCAGGAGCAAGAACAGAGGTGAACTGCTAGCAGCAGGAATCCTGGACTGGTTTGTTTTCTAGAAACAGAGAAAGTGGGGTTATATGAAGAATCACAGAGACATAGAATTTGGGGCAACCAAGAAAAATTTAGATTTGCAGTATAAAAATCAAGTAGCTGGAATACTACTAAAATACCTTTCTGACCAAAGGAAACTCTTGCAAATAACTGGTCCAGGAAAATTCAACTAATTTAACATTGGACTTAAAAAAAAATCAGCAGCAGAGCTTGGATTTTAAAATCACCATAAAAATAATATAAATAAGTTACATAAATTTCTAATAGATGAAGGATATTCTTCAGAAAATGTTGCAACTGAGCTTTGAAAAATGTAAGAAATAATTGTCCAATTTTATTTTTGTAATGAAGGAAGACCTCAAAGAAGAAATGCAAAAATTGAGGGACAAAATGGAAATAAATGAAACAAATAAAATATGATCTGCTAGAACTCTCAAAAGAAAAAAAGAAAAATAATGAACTCATAAAGAAAATTTTTTAAATATAGAAAAATAAAAGAAAATGAAAATTGTTTTTAAAATTGAAGTAATAGAGGAATTTTACGAAGCAACAAAAATTGAGGAACAATTAAAGAGGAGCTAAAAAGAAAAAAAAGTAGTAGTAAAAGAGAAGCAAAGGGATTTAGCCTGTACATAAAGATTGAAAACAATAAATAATGGAACAGATCTTTAAATATATAATTTTGAAAAACTTTCCTGAAATAATAAAGACCTGAATTAACAGCAAAATGTCAAAAAATTTGATTTTTAACATTGGAAATACTTATGAAAGCATCCAATTTTTTAAAAATTAAATGTTTATATGATTATAAAATTATTTTTTAAAACCTAAAATATAAACAATGGCCCATAAACAAAATAATTCAGATGTAACTCCACCAAAGATTTTAATCGTTAATATTTGATGTGTCTGTCTTAATTTTTCTATACCTAAGCATCTAATATGATATATTATAAAATATAATATGTAATAAAATAATATTTGATATATAGTTTAAGAGAACTATACTTAAATATGGGCTAATAAATAAACATAACTATATTTTGTCATGTATTTAGATATTTTTGACAATAATCTAAAAGTTTATGTTGAAAAAATACATTCATGCTCATAGCAGAAAAAATTACATAGAACAAAATTATGTAGAATGAAGAGTTCATCATCTTCCCATCTTAAGGTCTTTTCTTGGTAAATCTTCCAGAGGCTCTACATCTTAACACAAATAAGAATGTACTGTAAACAAGGTTTTGGACTTCTTTTTCATTAATAATGCACCTTTTTAGAGATCCTTCAACATCAATAATATAGATCTCATTGCTTTTGATGACCATATAGGGTCTCATTGAAAGGATGTACTACAATTTATCTAAATAGACTGTATGCTTATTTTCAATCTTTAGCTTTGCCAACTGTTTTGCAGTGGACACTTGTATACACTTGTATACAGATGTCAAATATGTGTTAGTATATCTAAAAGATAAATATCAGAAGTGCAATTGTGAGGTGAAAATATTAATGTATTTAAATGTTTTACAGCTATTTTCCCATAGATCTCCATATATGTTACCATTTTCCATACCCAGAAAGATAGAATGTAACTATATTCTTTCACCCTCACCACACTATATACTAACAGTTAAAAAAAAAATCCACCAATGATACGTGAATGAGTGGTACTGCATTGTTGTTGTAACTGGAATTTAAACATCATGATTAAGATTGAGAATCCTTACTGTCCACTTGCATTACTTTGAAAATTACCTGTTGAGAACTGATCTCATTTTGCTGTTGGGCATTTGTTGTTTTCTTATTGATATAAAATAGCTCTTTACATAGCAATTAAAATAATCTTTTGCATGTCATATGTGTTGCAATTAGTTTTTCCCAGATTGCCATACTTTTCTTAATGTTCCTATTTCTGCAGGCAAAAGTTTTATATTTTAATGTACTGAAAATTACTTTGTGACATAATTAGAAAGTTTTTCCCACACTATAATTTTATTTTTACTTTTTATGATTTTCTCTGTATTTAAACAACGTTTGTTAAATTAATTCATAGCATCCCATTGTATCAACGCACATAATTTGTTTTGCTTATTCTGCATAACTGGTTATTTAATTTGAATCTTTTTTTTAAATTGTAGGTAGTGTTATTTTTTTAAAATCTACATATTTTACATACATTATTTTAGGCATGTCTGTTTCCTTATGGTGCATTGTTTTGTACTGTAATTGTAGGTCAATGAGCATTCTCGTCTTTACACTTTATATTTCTAGCCCTGACAAATGGCCCTTTATGAACATAATAATTTACATGCCTACAAGCAGTATATGAGATATATTACTTCTTGACCCTATTACCTATAAATATATTTTCAATTGTAAATATTATGCTCACACTTACCTCAGAACCAATATTAATTACATTATGTATTCCCAGTCTTTTGTATTTTTTTCTTTCAACTTCATTTCCAGAGCTTTCTCTAAAATTGTTTTGTTTTCTGTGCCACTCAGAGAAAGGATTGACTGTAAGGAGAAAAGTGACATTTTGGTGAATGATAGACAAATTGCATAAAGAGAAACTCATGTTGCTACTCCTAGAAAGAGGAAGATCACTGTTTTGAGCAACATACCTAAAACTTCCCTTCTTCAACATAACAGTCCCATTTTTTTCCAGTAAGATAACAACATTGTCTCAATTGCATTATGACTACTTCTGCAGCCCATTTAAACTTTTGTCGTTTTCTGTTCTCACTTGTCTGGGGAAAAGATGGACTATTTCTGCTAGGGTGAATGAAGCACAGACTTCATGTCATTTCCTTCCATATCTATATCATTATGGGTGGCGGCAAGAGGAGAGCAATTCAGCCTTTCTCCACTGAAACCCTTCTATCACATTGTGTGCAAAGCTCCAGGCAGACAGGCTGGATGCTTGCATGTTCTCCAAAGACTGCAGTCATAAAACTGCTCCTGCAAGATCAGGCCCTTGCTAATTACAATACTAACATTAACTTTTTCATTCATGGTAGATTTTCATTCATTTCTTAAGGCTAATACTAATTGCAACTTAAAAAAAATAATGCTAAATAGGGCAAGCAATCTGGGAACCCAAATGGTATATTCCCCTCCTGATACACATTCTCTCATTAGACACATGAACAGAGGAGGGAAAAAAAAATCTCTCTAAAGAGCTGGCACTGCAAATTATTTTTTTTATAAATTATATTTGTTCTGGGGTTATTGAATATACTATTTTTTTATTTATAAAATGAGAGTTTGGGGATAATCGACTTGGTAAGCAGTCTCAATGGAGAATTTAAAATGAGGGAAAACATGGTGAAGAGGAAATAATAAGGGTAGTGAAGTACTAGATCTTGAAAAGTAATCTGGGATAAACCAAAGGGACATTTAATAAACATGATCTTTGTTAAATTTGCTTTGGATCTAGCTAGCAAAAATTCCAGAAATATTTTGCTAGTTAAGAAAATAACTGCTTTCCTGAAATGATTTCCCTCTCTGGTCTGTTACTTTTCTTCTACCTGCAATTATCATATAAAAATGTTAGCTAAAATAAAATAAATTTATCTTAATTGGATAAAAAGAAGGATGCACTTTTATTTCTTTATTTATTAATTTGGCAAGAATTTGTTGACATGTCCATCTATATAAGCAGTCATTTCCTTGTTAGGAAAATCAGAATTCTCACTTGCCTGTATTATTAACCCCAGGGATTTCTTGCCACAGGATTTGTTTACATTATAATTCAAAATTGAATTTTGGGCTTCTCCTTCCTAGAAATGTTTTTCTGTCATTAACAGAAGTCACATTAGCAGTGCATTTTTATCATAAAATGGGCTAAGTTTGAAGGGATTAGATAGACTAGTATAGGTGTTAAATTCTGGGTTGGGTTCAAGTAAATGTTAACTAAATTGAGATGGTAAGCATGTGTTCTGTCCTTAACCCAAGGCTCAGTAGCACATGCTACTGTGTATATGTGGCACCCAGATGTGGGACTTTGTCTTTTCTGGTTAACCAGTGTATTCAGATTTTGAGGACAGTATTTGGAGGCTGAGAGAACCCACAGTTTTCACATATGCAGAGGTGGGTTCCCTTAGCACTTATACTCACCCAGGGTAACCTCAGCCCTCAGGACTTGATTCAAAATGTTTCTTTCCATTCAGTATCTAGTCACTTTCAGGTTTTCCACAGCTGGAGAAAACCCTATTATGTGCTCAGTCTGATGATTACTCAGGGCTCAGATACAGAGATACTGATGTGGCAGGTCTTAAAGGGCCTTGTGCTCTACGTTGTCAGGTTTCTTTTACCAGTAATTAAAAATATATGCATCAACAGAAAGGAGAGGGAAATAGAAACAATAGTACTCACTCTTACTGTTAATATGGACCTTACAAGAATTGAAAACATAATCAAATCACTGCTTTTATCATATAATAAAATATAGACCATTATTAAACCTACTCAGAAGTAAGTTGCTTGTCAAATTATAGGTTCTGAAATATGACCAAATGCAGCAGAAGCCCATAAAGACAAGCACTTATTTGATGCCTAGGATTGCGGAATGTCAAGTAAATTAAAGGAAAATAGACCTCAGAAGAATAAATATGTCAGTTAAAACATGAATGTTCTTTTGCAATCAGTCAATTTCTAGTCTAGCCTATCAATGCTACCTTTTCCACTAGTCCTAATTTTGGTTGCAGGAACTTCCACTGGAGTGCTACCTGTTTTTTGGATTTCATGCAATATTACTTCCTTTTTTATTGCTGCTTCCAGCTATTGCTATCAAATGAAAATACATGAACAGCAGCAGTGAAACAACCTTCTCAGGAAGAGGACAGCAGACGAGACCTTCTTTTTGTGTTCCAGGGAAGAGGCACTTATCCCTGCAGTGTCAGCATTCCTCTGGAAGAATACCATACACTCTCTAAATACATGTGAGGATTGCGGTAAAGTGGACCATATTTGTAGCAAAATATAGGTACCCTAAATCTAGTAAGGGATTCACATCAACAACAACACAAGCCTTCATGGGAGAACTTTACTCAAAAAACCATTCCATAAGGCATTGGACTTAGATTTACAAGTGTGTTCTTCCAAATTCTTCAAGAAACAGATGTTTCCATCTAGTTAAACTCTTTGAGAGGTTATTCTGCGAATTAAAACGTCACATCAAAGCTAAACTGATAAAATATAAGGAGTTCAAAAACACTCTGGCACAATCTTACATATGAATTATTGTAAAAAATAAATAAAATATTAATGAGTGTAAAGGCATTTATAGTAAAGTGAATCACACGATAAAAACACTATTGGAGCTAATATTTTGTAACATTTCTAAAGGATCACACTAATGACATTATTTATGAAAATAAAGAGTAGAAATATTAAGAATGAAGAGCAATAGTTTTTATTGACCGATAATTGTATTTTCTGTATAGAAAAACAAAGTTAATCTGCTAAAATACTATTATTCAACTTTTGACCAAATACTAAAGAAATAATTGAATTCATAAATGTATTAAAGTACTATTGCTTCAATGTAATTAAGCTGTTTACTTAAAATATGCAAGTCATTCAATATTGACATTTATATTATTGAGAAGTTTTCAATATATTATCTTGAAAAATGCACAAAAATCCTTTATTAAGTGTTTTAGACTAGATTTTTTCAATAGAATTTTATTTCTTAGAGCAGTTTTAGTTTTACCACAAAATTAAGCAGAAGGTAGAAAGATTTCCCGTGTGTCTCCTGCCTCCTAATCCCACACAAACACCCATTTTCAACATTTCCCACCCATTTTCAACATACCACCAGAGGTGTACATTTGTTGCAGTTGACGAACCTACAATGACACAATCATTATCACCCAAAATCCATAGTTTACATAGGATGCACTCTTGGTGATGTACACTCTCTATGTGTTTAGACAAATTTATAACAACATGTATCCACCATTATGGTATCATACAGAGTAGTATTATTGCCCTAAAAATCCTCTGTGATGCCTATTCATCCCTCTCTCCCCTAAGCCTAGGCAATCACTGATATTTCTACTATTCCCATAGTTTTACCTTTTCCAGAATGTCATGTAGTTTTAATTATACACTATGGAGGTTTTTCAGATTGGCTCTTTTCACTTAGTACTATGCATTTAAGTTTTCTCTATTTCTTTTCATGGCTCGATAACTCATATTTTTAGCAGTGAATATTATTTCATTGTCTAGATATACTGCAGTTTATTTACCTACCTACTGAAGGACATCTCGTTGCTTCTAAGTTTGGGCAATTATGAATAAATCTGCTATAAGCATCTGTGTGCAAGTTTTTGTGTGGACATAAATTTTCAGTCCTTTGGAGTAAATAGTAAACAGTGCGATTGCTGGATTGTATTATAAGAATGTTTAGTTTGGTAGGAAACTGCCAAACTGTCTTCCAAAGTGGCAATACTATTTTGCATTCTCACCAGCAGTGAATGACCGTTCTCCTTTGTGTTGCTGTGCATGCTCTCAGCATTTGGTGGTGTTAGCGTTCTGGATATCGGCCATTTTAATAGATGTGTAGTGATATCTCCTTGTTCTTATAATTTGTATTTCCATGATGACAGAAAATGTGGAGCATTTCTTTGTATTCTCTTTGCCATCTGTGTATTTTTTCAGGTGCGGCATTCGTTAAGGTCTCTGGTTAATTTTTTTTTAATTGGCTTGTTTGTTTTTTTATTGTTGAATTTGCATATTTTGAATAACAATGCTTTATCAGATATGTCTTTCACAAATATTTTCTTTTGCTGTTGGGGTTTCCTTTTTCTTTCTTAGCAGTGCTTTTCACAGAGTAGACATTTTAAATTTTAATGAAGCCTAGCTTACCAGTGCTTCATTTCATGGATTGTGCCTTGGGTTTTGTCTGAACAGTAATCACTAAACCCAAGGTTATCTAGATTTCTCTTGTTATTTTCTAGGAATTTTATAATCTTATATTTTACATTCAGGTCTATGGTCCATTTTGAGCTAATTTTTATGAAGGGTATAAATTCTGTGTCCAGATTTTTTTTTTCATTATAAATATCCAGTTGTTGAAGTACAATTTGTTGGAAAGACTATGTTTTTTAACTGTATCACTTTTACCCCATTATGAATGATCAGTTGACTATACTTATGCAGATTTCTTTCTGGGCTCTCTCCTCTGTTCCATCAATCTGTTTGCCTATTCTTTCACCAATACCACACTGTATTTATTACTGTGGATCTACAGTATGTCTTGAAGTTGTATAGTGTAAGTCCTATTTCTTTGTTCTTTGTCAATAATGTATTAGTGATCCTGGATCATTTACCCCTTCAATATTCAAAAAAATAACTTGCTAGGATTTTGATTGGGATTGCAAGTAAGAAAGAACTGGCATCTTGACAATATTGAGCTGTCCTATCCATAAACGTAGAAAATCTTTCCATTTATTTAACTCTACTTTGGTTTTTCTTCATCAGTTTTGTAGTTTTCCTAATACAGATTATGTACATATTTTGTTACATTTATAGCTAAGTATTTTATCTTTTGGATGCTAACGCAAATAATGTTACATATTTTTTATTTCAAATTCCATTTGTTCATTCCTGTTATAGAGAAAAGTGATCGACTTTTGTATATGAATCTTGTAAACTATAACCTTATGATAATTGCTTATTAGTTCTAGGAGGTCTGTTTTGTTTTGTCAATTCTTTGGATTTTCTATATATATGATGATGTCATCTGGGAAAAAAGACAGTTTTATTTCTTCCTTCCTGAGCTGTATACTTTTTTTTTCTTCTCTTACTGCATTAGCTAAGACTTTCAGTGTGATGTTAAAAAAAGCATTGGTCAGAAGAGACATCTTTGCCTTATTCCTTATTTTAGTGGGAAAGCTTCAAGTTTCTCACTACTAAGTACAATGCCATATGTGGGTTTTTGCAGATATTCTTTGCCAAGTTGAGGATGTTCTCTTCTATTTCTATCTTACTGATATGGACTATGATTTTTTAAATCAGCCACATACATAAAACAAACCTGAAAAAGTACTACATATAAAGGTTTAAAAATTTTTCGAAAGATATTCTGAAAAAGACGGACAAAAGAGGCTAAAATGTCAATGTTAAAATTATTCAAAATAGATCATACAAAAACATTAGATAGACATGAAGTATGTGTAATGTGATAAAGATTCATCCTATCAAAAACATGCAATTATCCCTAATCTTTATGTAAACAAAGTACTTTATTAAACTTCTTAAATACTTTACTAAGTATCAACTATATGTTAATATCTACTAAAAACATATAAACTTCAACTGGTAATAGAATAAAGTAAAAAATTAACACATTGTCATCATAACACAACACCTAAATTCATTTTACTCAACAATTGCCAGATAAACAAGACCATATGAGAACATTGAAAACTGGAATGCAAATAATCAGCTTCATGTAATATAGAGTTTACATTATCTCCAACTACAAATAAAACCTTGAATTTCAATAAACATAATTCATACAGACCACATTATTTAACTACAATGAAATTAACAGTAAAAGTATAATAATAAAATGAAATGTCTCTAATTAGAGTGATAATAGAATAACATGGCCTTGTAACTATGACATATGATAAATAATTGAAAGAATTATGACTGTTGAGAAGACCTAAAGGTCATATTGTGACAGTTTAAAAAATATATGCCTACTGTATAGTTATTACTATCCAAAGGAAGACTATGTGTGGAAGGAAATACAGACAATAAGTAGTAAGTAAACTTTAACCAGTTTTGCCCAATGTTGCTATTGGGGAAAACTGGTTAAAGTTTACACAGGATTTCTCTGTCTCTCCACATTATAATTACATGTAAATGTACAATTATCTGAAAATTTAGAAGGTTTTAAAAAGAACTATCCAATGTCTAACTGCAAAAACCAAGATATTTTCTCTATGCCATGATATTTTCTTATAGAAAAAGTACTAGGGGTAGATTTGAATTAATAAAAGTGTTATCTTTGGACTGTTAATGGCTAAAACACAGAATATTTGTACTGAAATAAGTTCTAACACCAATAGAGTCCAAACAGAATGTGTCTTAGCACTGGTGCTTTTGGACTTCCAAATTTGCTGAACTAGCTATATTCAGAAAGTTCAGGATAGTAGAAATAAAGCAAAAAAATAAAATTACTGAAAATGGCATTAATTTATCCTTAGTTTCCCCTATAGTGATGGTTGTGTTGGTAGAGGTCAAAAGGTGTTGCAATTCAGTGTTAACTGTTCATTTTTAGGTCTTTCTAATTTTGTAGCAATAAAATCATGATTGACAGAATTGATGTGGTATAGTATAAAACACTGGAAAGATACATTTAAGGCTTTTGCAATCTTGGGGAAAACAAACCACTTAATTTCTCATTGTTTTACTTTTACTTATTAATCTATAAAAGATCAGAAATACTAATGTTTGCCTACAAATTACAGAATATCTACATAGTTCCGAAAATCAAAGAGCAAAAAAAAATGAAAGAACTAGAAAGGAAGAAACTGAACACTCATTATTCTCAGATGATACAGTTTTTTGCATTTTTAGAAATTCAAAATAAGCTACACATAAATGGTTTTAATTAATTAAAAACTTAGCAATATTACTGGAAACCATACATACAAATGACATACACATAATAGCAACAAATAGAAACTATTGAAATGAGATAGTTCCCTTGACTCCTTCACAGGACTTGCAAAGGGGCTGGCTCATTTGCTCAGCCCTCAGCTCTCAACTCCTCACAGGAAGGGGAGCACAGAGGTGAATGAGAGCAGAGGCTGAGAAAAAGTGCTTCTGGATGCTGACAGAAGCAGAGCTCTGTATGGCCCTGTGGCAGCATCTGGGGGGTACCTGTGACCCCTGGGGCACCACAGGGCATATGTTACCATGTGTTCTTTTAGCATTGACATCCACTGACAGGTTAAGTATTTAACAGCTTAGTTTGGGTGAGGGTGGCAGTCTTTTGCACCTGCCCTCTTGGTCCTTGAGTGCTTGTCCAGCATCCAGTAAGAATCAGGCTGCATGAATGAATTGAAAAGTGGTGAATATGGAGGATTTTATTGAGTGGTGGAAGTGGCTCTCAGCAGGATGGGGAGATGAAAAGGGGATAGAGTGGGAAGGTGGTCTTCCCCTGAAGTTTGGCCATCAAGCTTTCCCTCCAAAGTCAAGCTATTGCTCTATGATGCCTGGCTGCTTCTTCTCTTCTCTCCTTTGCCACTCTGCTCCACTACTCAGCTCCTGTCACTCTGCTGCCCATCTTCCAGCAGAGCCTGGGTTTTTTTGGGTACAGGATGAGAGGACAGACTGGCCAAAAAGCAGCAGTCGAACCAGTAAAC